TAGTTACAACTCACTTGATTAGCGTGGTGGAAAGTGTCAGACCATGAGGAGGTGTGGAGAAACTACTGATGGATTTTAATTTTTTTTTAAGAAAAAAAGCTATTGAGAATAACATTTAGAGGACAGATTGGGGGAAATACAAAATAGGAGATTGACTTGCAGGAAGTCAATCTAGATGATCTTTGAGGTCCCTTCCAACCCTAACCATTCTATGATTCTATGAAGAAAGAGCAAAAGAGGATATGGAAAAGGAAGAAAAGAAATGGACACAGAAGTCATCTCAGAACAGTGACACCTGTTGCTGTTAATATGGGGGAGAAGACGAGGAATGAAGGATAGGAAAAGCGAAGGAGGAAGATGTAGTAACGTCTCTAAGTAGCTTAAAACAGAAAATGGATTATCCTCTAGAGGTGAGCACAGTTCACAAAGGAGCCTTTAATTCCTAATAGCAAGGGATTGAATACCAATGGATGTAACCAATGTATTCAGACACAGTCACGTTTCATCACCACGATCTTCCCTTCTCCATAAACCAAGACACCTTAACTCGGAAGTGTGGTCCCCCTGCCCCTGGTCAGTCTTTACGGGCAGATGTGCTGCAGTTCTGTGCCAACACATGTCCTGTGCTTGCAGTGTTTCCTTCCCACGTGGCCATAATGAGTGCTCTGCATATAGGAGTTTCTAATTTGCTCTTACCCCGAAGGATAACATAAGCAATATGGGAATGTTGTTAAACATGGCATATGTTGTTGCTGTGAGCTGCTTTCCCCTTACCAGTTCCGTGAGTGAAAAGTGACTCGTTTCCTGAGTAGGCTTCTTGCACAGGGTATATCAATTAGTTATGGAGAAAATCTTTAGAAGACTTGTGACAAGGCATACTCATAAAAAACCCCAAAACATAATTGCTGGCATCCAGCCTTACAGTTCAGTGTGGGAACTTCTCCTTCCCACAGGATGGAGGGAGAGTAGTGTAAGCTCATGAACAGCACCTCCTTACATACACAAACATAAATAATTGGAGTTAGTTCGTGTCTTGTTGGAAGTACAGTTAGTATCAAGGCTTGGCTCTATTCCACTTCTGCTGTTTTCTTTATGAAAAAATAAATGTGTGTGGCCGTAAGTTAAATGTACGTTATAAATATGTGCTATTAAAATCGACCCTGTTTGGTCATGTGCCAAAATTGTCCCAGCAGGGGAATTTGGAGAACCCAGATTTATTGCTATGGCTCCTTCATTCTTCTGCTCCTCCAGCTCCAAGCACAACTCTGGCCGAAGCCGAGCTGGAGCAGAGCAGAACATTTCTGCTGGCTGATTAGGTACGCAGTGCCCAGCAGGGACAGCTGGCACAGTCGCTGGTGCCACTGGCTTTGTACCAGGGACAAATTCCCCTCTGATGGGAAAATGTAACCAGATTATGTGCCTTTTAAATTATTGCTCACTGAGCAAAAACCAGTGCCGCCCTCCTGTGGTTTGGGATTCTGTCCTTGGGACGTTCAGGGTGGTGGGAATGGTAGCAGAGGTGAGCTACACCAAATGCCTTCTCTTTGCCTGGAGAAGAGGAGGTTCCAGGGTGTTCTTATAGCAGTCTTCTAGTACCTGAAAAGGGCTTGTGTGAAAGTTGGAGAGGGATTTTTTACAAGGGCATGTAGGGATAAGACAAGGGGCAACAGATTTAAACTGAAAGAGGGGAGATTTAGATTAGATATAAGGAAGAAATTCTTCACTATGAGGGTGGTGAGGCACTGGAACAGGTTGCCCAGAGATGTTGTGGATGCCCCATCCCTGGAAGTGTTCAAGACCAGACTGGTTGAGACTTTGAGCAACATGGTGTAGTGGAGAGTGTCCCTGCCCATGGCAGGGAAGTTAGAACTAGATGATCTTTGAGGTCCCTTCCAACCCATTCTGTGATTCTATACCTCTAATAGTATAGAACTGATCCATTATCTTGGCCCTTCTAGGTGAAATAATACCCTAAAATCAAGCTTATAATACTCTGTTGAGATTTTTTTCCGTCTCAGGGGTATCCGCGGCACTGGGCACATGCAATGTGCTCGTTTGCAGCTTGAATGGCTCGCAGGGGTCAGCAGCAGAGCGCAGACTTTTTCACCCCTTGAGCACTGAAGCATTGAGTAAAAGTTATTATTACCAATTAGCAGTGGCATTATTATTACCAATTAGTGGCTGTATGAAGCAAATCATTAGTCTTAGTTCAGTTATTAGCAGCTGGGGGTTCATGAAACGTGCCATGTGCAGCTATTGTTGGACCTCAGCAGTCTCCGTAGAGGTCGGTCACTGAAGTTGTCACGTCTCCAAACTGTCTCTGCATGGCTTTTTGTTGTGCCCCCCGCAAAAAGAAGTGTGTCTGGAGTCAGCGTGTAGAGTGGGGTTTTTTTGCTGCTAGTGCTGTGTACCTGTGAGTGAATAAATAAGGCAATTTCAATCTCTAGACAAGTATTGTGAAGCCTTTAATATACTGAATTCATGATTTAAAGCCAAATATTAGATTACCAGTTTTGTTGTTGGTTGCTGCTTCAGTTGTAAGAGCAAAATTGTCATGTCAGAGAAGGGGAAGTTACAGTGCAAATTACTCTTGACTGAAAGTATTGTTTCTCTAGGAAACCCTTAATACACAGTATTTCCACATACCCATTAGTTTTGCATAACGACTTTACACAAGACATGCTAGACGACAAGCAGCATGAATTAAGTTCTGTTCAAGAACTTAAATTGCCCTTTTATACTGTGTTATAATTAAAAGAATTAGGAAGCTGATGGGAAAAAAATGGAATTGTATCTTTAGCGTTACTTCCATATTGAACTATGTATTTAATTTGGATGCATTTTGCAGAGTGATTCATAGCTGTAGCTCTGTAACTCTATAGAATAACTAATAGAATAAGAAAAATAAGAATAACTAATAAAATTCTGTTGCACCAAATACTTATTGCATAGAATTAACTTAAATTGTGTAATGAGAATAGGCATTAAAAATCTTTTTCATCTTTCTTGGAGAAGTGAGTAGGGGATTGGCATGCTGTTTTCTCTTTCAGTGATGCAGATGTCTTCTGATTTTCAATATTGTCGAAGAAAGGGTTTGACTGACAATATATTTGAGGAGGGTTGAAAGTTGAGGAATTGGAGGATGGCATCAGTCGGGTCGGTCCGTCTGAGCACTGGTGGGGGAGGGACATCTGCTGGTGCGAGAAAGGAATAATTGAACGTTTGCAACTCAAAATGCGGTTGCACTGGAATGATTAAGGCAAAAACATCATCATGCTCACACCGATCACTTTTCTGTTCTGGTATTATTCTAGAAACACATATATGCATGTTTTTGTTTCAGTTAGTTTATGGTTTTAATTTACTGGAAAAGAAAATTAGAAACTAAGGCCCTATTCTTGAGCTGGCAGCTTGCAGATGTAAGTGTTAAATGCCCTTAACTCAAAAGGTATTTATCTTACAGTTTGGAGGTTTAAAATCAAACTCATGATATGGGACCATGGTGGTATCATGTGATCTCTGGGCAAAGCTGATTTTGTTTGTTTCAGTCTGTCACTCACCAATTTTTTCAATCCATCTTTCAGTCCATCTTTCTGTAAAAGTGCCGTAAAAATTTTCAGCTTCTGAATTCCATAGGTAAAGAATCATAAAAAGTAAAATGTTTGCACATCTTTGGTTGTAAAGTTCTATATTAGTTAACGATACAGTGAGAAATTTTATTTGTACGTGTTTACCTTGAACTCCTATAGGTCATACATACATGGTCAATATTTTAGGTGCAATGGTTTTAGAAGAGAAACTCTTTAGGATGAATTTTCTGGTGCTGTCTGTAAATGTGCCTGGTACTTACTTAGCACTGCACACATGGTGGCAAAACCAAGTCCTTGGAAACATAGGAGTTGAAGGCCATACCCTTGGGAAGAGTTTCCCAGGAGCATTTAATGCTGTGACGTCTTACCAGCACCACACCAGGCACTCACCTGCCAGGACAAAGTAAGACCCTCTTGAGCTGTGAATGTCTTTCACCTTGTTTCATTCTTCCTGCTGTTCATGTGTATCCAGCCATCGCTAGCGCGAGTTGACCACACATGATGCCTTCTGGGAGATTCTTAGAGTAAATGTGGTCTTGAAATGATGCTGTTGATAAGTTACTAGGTTGTGCTTTATGAATTGTGTCAGGAATGCATTGTTACCATCACGTATTCCTCGTGCAATTCTATTAAAAAAGGGAAAAAAAAACAAGTATCTACACTTCACTTTCCTACCAATATGGCACTGAGAAGTCTTCTGGGAAGAATCTGTAGCAGCTGCAGGCTTCAGCTCCTTTCATTGTATCCCAGATAGAAAAAAAGTCAATACCTTACATCTTTCATAACCAATTATGGACTTTTTACTGTGGTCATTATTCACACGAAGAACCCTATAGTCTGTAAGGGAGGATGTATATAATCAAGTTCTGGATCAGAACAACCACTATATAATTGAATAACCGGGACTTTCAGATTAAGAGTCATCTTAAAGTAATGAGCTGCTGAGATCAGCACTGTGCAAAGTAGGGCAATTTATCTCAAAGTCAGAATATCTATTCCCTCCAGCTCTTCACAAGAGGTTGGGTATTTTATCAGGTCCAACCCTCTTTTCTCTCCTTGCAGTAACATTCATGTTTTATAAATCTCATCATGCCTTCTTTTCCATAAAGCAAAACTCTTTGTCGTATGAAATCTTCCATTGTCACCCCCATGGTTCTGTCACCATCTTTTACAAATTTCTTCATTCTTAGTTTGGATAAAAGAAGCGCTGGCATTTATATGCTGTGCCCTTTGTTTCTGAGATGTCCCAAGGCTGTGGTGACAACTTTGAAGTCAGGGATAGCCACAGAGTTGTTACAGACGTGCTGTTTTCCGTTAATGAAAAGCTGGTGTTCATCCGCAGCCCTTCTACGTAGTGTTTGATCCATAACACTTTACATTGTATTGCAAGCAGCTCATTATAGAAAAAAAATGTTGTTTTTGTGTTTCAGGTGCAAAGATGGCTTGAAAGGATTTACGTACTCTGCACTAAAGTAAGTAAAGTTTCTGTGAGTACGTAGCTTAAAGCGAAGATTTTGAGGAATCGCGAACAGTGGCAGCTGCATTGTATGAGAAGGAGATTCCTAAGAAAAATCAAACTGTTGTAAAACTTTTCCAACTTTTGGGGTATGCAGCATACTTTGAAGAAAGCGTAATATGCTGGCAAGAGAGGAATCTTTTCATACTTGAGACTGTTACTGAAAGGAAACGCAGACGTATGGTTGCACGTTTTTGAAGCAGCGTTAATCTTTTCTTGTTCTAAAACTGGGATTCATGATTCCTGATATTCTCCTGGAAGCAAACGGCTGCTGTGTTTTGATCTGGGGATTATTTGCTGTATTTACAAAACGTTGAATGAATACAGTAGCAGTCTTGTGACCAGCACCCAAATAAAACATGATCTTGTAGCATATCCATTTGAGAAATCCTAAATGTGCTACTAAGCCTTGTGTCTGCCCTAGTAGTCCAGGCTCTTCTAGAATTTGCTTTTCAGTGGGACTCTCTGGTGTTACATTTGTGTATTTATACAAAGTTCTCCCATCTTCGTGTCTCATGTCAGAAGTACAAAGACAGGTTTTTCTTATCTCTTTATATGCTCTACTACCTGTCTGCCATTCAGGCATTGTCCAGTGCATGGACAATGTCAACTCACAGGTGAAGAGCTGGAGTCAAGCAAGACAGAAGTGCTGTTGTTAGTAGAAAATATTCTAGAGTTTGCAGCTCTGAAAGAGATGTGGAATTTGATAGAAGGTGCCAGTAGTTAAATAATTTAGTCTATAGTCCAGAAACCTGGACATGAAATGCTCCTGTGGCAACGTGCAGAAAAGTGCTTTCCGAAATCACCATTTTACTGGGAGATTCAGTCACATACCAGATGACAAAGTTTTTATACCTTCTTCTCCCTCAGCAAGACTGCCACAGTCCAGTGTAATTTGGGTTATAGTGTAAAGTATTAGGAAACATCTTGCCATTATGACCTCCCTTGCCCTTGATTTACTGTAATTTTACACCTATGATGAACGAGTATATTGACAGTATCAACTTCTGAGTGAAGAAAAAGGGCTGAAGATGAAGCCAAGCAAAACAAGGTTGATGCTCTTGGTGGGAGTGAAAACATTTTGAAGATTTTACAAAACAGATATTTTATAAAAATATTATAATAATCATCAACCTTTATGTAACCTCATTTTGCTGGAGGCAATTGAGACCATTATCTGAAGTTTAAATACATCACGATGGAGTGATCTTTTCAAAGAGATACAAGATTTCGCAGCTGTATAGGATGGATTTTCTTTTGCAGACCTGTGGGTAACTTCAAGTTTGTCTTAGAGACTTATACTGGACTTTTTGTATTTCTTTGAGGTATTTGTCTAATTGTTGTTTTGTGTTTTTCTTTCAGATTCATTGTATAAATCCCCACTCATTCGTTTTCACCTGAAGCAGCATTTTCAAAAATAGATAAAAAGATAAAGCACTGTGAAAAAATACCACAGCCGATGAACATACTGGCTCTAACAAAAAAGCTCATGGACAAAGTGTGAGTCGAAGACAAAAAAAAAAGAATCATTCTTACTTAGCTCATTTTAATGGTTTACTACATTGTATTTGACAAAGTTTTATAATACTTTTGCTTCACATTTAAGTGGTTTGCATTTCATTTTCACTGGGTAGTTAGCAGTGACAAACAATGAACTTTAATGGCAGCACAATTTAAGACCTATATGTCATAGCAGTGACTTGCGACGTGCAGTTGTCTAACGAGGGAGAGTAAGTTCGATCAATTCTGAGTGGCAGAGCGCTGGTTGCTTTTTCTGCAGTTCTCAGCAAAACCAGCTCATGGCATGGTTCTGCTGGTGCTAGTCGTGATATTAAGGAGGGGAATTTGCACAGCAGCAGACCTTACTTAGATCACCTTAAGTGACCATAACATCATCTTTTTGGTGACGACATCCCTGTATTGCATAAAGGAGAACTGCCTAAGAACAGGGTCGGTAGCACCTGGCCTGCCTCTTCTGTCAGGAGATAGGAAATTCCGGAGCAAAGAGGGAGTCTAAAACTGTTTTGCACAAGGTCAGATCTAGACATCTGAAGCTAGGTAAGAGAGGTTCCCTCCTGATCTACAGGATCCAATTTATTGTCCTTTGGTATGAGCTTAAAGAAATCAGATAGCTTGTCAGGCTAATATGTTCAGATGGTGTACTTCTGCTGTGCTTGATTTGTCTGCTTCCGGCACGTTGGGTACCACGAGGAATTATCCATTTACAGGGAAGATGGAATAAAAGATGGACTAGGGGTCTGATCGTACCACATTTATCAATCTTCACTTCCATTGACCTCTCCAAGAGCAGTTTTATGACCAGGTCTTTACCTGCCGACATGCAGGAGAGAAGCAAGTTTTCCAAGTGCGTTGTGTTCTCAAAGTAGTGGCTTATCTTATTTGCTCAGATAACGAACAAAAATGAAGTGACCTACATCACATGGCAACTTCTTATTATTTGCTGTGGTTTTTAATTGAAAAATATAAAGGAAGTCAACAGTGGCTTCTCAGACACGACTGTATTAGACAGAAAAAGACCTACAAGGAGAAGACAGCTCCATACGCAGATTGTTTTAGCTGAGTTGCTTGTACCTATTTTGCCTTAAATACTCTTTACTCAGTTTGCTAGATAATAGTTCATAACTCTGCTGCTGTTTGTTAAATACAAGGATCAAGGGACTATGGGTGGAGAAGAGTGTTTTTTCTTTAGGATTTTGAAACTCCTGACTCAGATATTGAGAAAACTTTTAATTTTCAGTCCTATTGCTCTCACAGGTTTCTCTTCCATATGGTTCTTTTCAGTATAATTGAGTCTAAATGCCTGTAACCTGATCACATTCTCATTACAATTTTTGCTGCATAAACTGACCTCACAGATGATTTATGGCCATTGGACTTTATAGTACATGGTTCAAAACTTCCAAGATACTTGGCACAGTATATAAATTGTGTAATTTATTTTGCATTATAACTTAAATACTTGGCTATAGCAAAATATAATGCTCAGACCTGGTATGACATTATTTCTTTTAATTCTACATAATGCACGGCTAACAACTGTACAATCCATGTGTCCCACCATCCCAAGCCAATCTCTTTTCAATGCTCAAGGTCAAATTCTCAGTCCAAAATAAAAGCTACATAAAAACCAACACAGCAGAAGAAACAGCCCAGAAGTGAAAGGCCTGTAACTGATAGAAGTCTCACAGGGTATCTCTGTGCATTTGTATGTTCTGCATTGCCCTCCAGTGAGCCTTACAATGCTATGAGAGATGGAAGGGCACAGGTAACGGATGCTTGGTCAGATATCCTTCCAGAACCACGGAGCAGAGACAAACTGGGAAGGATCACATCACTTCTCCCTGTTGACCACAGCAGAAAATTTGTTCTTTAATTTTGTGGTTTATGTGTAGAATGGCAAGAGGTTAGATCCAAATAAGTGCGCAGACACTTCTTGCTGTACAACTAAAGTATTGTTAGTTTTTATTGTTCTTTTATGGCATCATAAAAACCCACAGTGCCCTTCAGTGGGTAATGGGGAGAATGAGACGAGGGAAAATAGCACTTTATGTATTTTTAGGGAAGAAAAATTTATGAAGTCTCTTGTCGATGACGCTGAAAACAGCTACGAGTTAATATGTGTTTCATTGTGCTTTTTGCAGGTGCAAACACGGCCCGAGGCATAGATGCTGTAAACACTATGGAGATAATTGCATCTCATATTGTATTAAAGTAAGTGCAGAAAAAGTCAGATGGACAAACTCTGGCGAAGAGAGGGTGAAAGTCTAGTCAGAAAAAGCGTGTACTTAGGAAGTGAGAAAGAAGCCTGTTCCTCATTCTTCTCCTATTGAGAATGTGACAAGCCTGAAAACAGATTTTCTCAATTTCAGACGGGGTGGTGGGGGGGTTAAAGTTCACTGGTTTTTCAGATTAGCTGGAGCGAATGAATAACGTAAAACGTGTGGGAAAAAATGGACTAGGGAGCAAGGAACTTGTTTAAACTATGTGATGCACTTCGTGGCTGAGCCCACTTGTGACTCCACCCTAAATAAAGCACCTGGAATGTGCTGTTTTGGCAGGCGGCACAGCCCTGGGCACGTACAGCTGCCGGGTCCGGCACGCTGCTGCTGGGCGCTGGGCTCGCTCATCCATTCATTTATTTTAAGGGCTCGGGGTAACGAGAGATTGCACACAGTTGCTACACCCAGGAAGAGCTGTTGATGTCCGGTGGCATAATTCATCCTCCTTTATTACTGTGATCAGCGCATTTTTTTTCAGAGGAGTACTGTGTAGAGGAGATTTGTTTTGGCCGCCGTTGGGTTGGCACAGGTGGTACCACCTGCTGTGCCTGTTTTAGGAGTTGGTAAGGCTCCAGAAGATCTCGATCACTTCGTGATTTACTCATTTTTATTTATGGAGCAGCAAAAATGGATTTGAGTATCTTCAGATGCTTTTGATACGTATTACTTTCAAAAATAACTTTTTGAAATTAAAATTTTACGTGCAGTTAATGTTTTCTCAGAACTATGCTGAAGTTTAGCATCAGAAGAGATCTTGCACAACATTTATTCATGTATGTTTATTAACAACATCATTTTGTGTTGTAGAGCTGTTTGCCCTCTTTTTACACTGCAGTGTAGTGGCATACTGCTGTGTAACATGGGTATAAGTTGCACTGGTGTTGAGATAGGATTTGAGATGGTGCTTAAGCGTTCTGGTGAATTAGGATGAGAATATGCAATAGAGCATTCACGAACAGTTCAGGATGGTTATGTCACTTTTCTGTGTAGCTATGACGTATATTTAACAGAACTCAGATTAAAGTTACAGTTTTACAACCTCTCACCACTATCTCAGTCCGCTTAATGTTTCATTCATGGGCTGTTCATTTCTTCAAAGTGTGACATCTTTGGGGACACAGACTTTCCACTTGCTTCATGCTTGTTCAGTGTCTTGCCTCGTACATTTACTGTTCAGTGCCTCCTGGCCAACTTTGTCTCCCATCTGCTGAGAGCTCACATCAGCATCCTCTGGGGATAAAACATTCCTTGTGCCTTCGTTTGCAGAGTACTCTGTGTTTTCCCCATAGATATCAATGTCTGGCCTTCAGAATCAATGTCAAAGACAAGATATTGTGTTCAAAACAAAGACTAAAATTAAGCAGAAGTGTTTTATGGGTTGATATGCTACATTTCCACATCTCTGCTGATGGTACTATCTCCTAGTGCGCATCTTTTTTCATGGGTGCCTTGCTGTAACTTCAATATGCTGCACTTTTACATAAAGTGCTGTCTTTCATTACTTGTGCATATTTTACAGTAATTAGCTCATAACTACTGTTAGTCCAGACGTGCTTCCTGAGCTTTTTATTAATGTCACACAAAATCCTTCTCTGAAAGATTACATTCTGTGCTACATTCTCAGCAGTCAAATTTATAAGGACCATCATAACACTATTATTTTATAAGCACAGCTAAAACAAGCAAGTGAGGGTTTCTGTTAGAGTACTGTTAATAGAACTGATGCCTCTTCTCCATGGAAAACTGTCATAATCTGCTGGAAGAATGAGCGTGTGTGTGGCTTCATGGGTAAAGAGAGGTGATCTGACCGTTACAGAATATAATGAGCTTGAAATGCCTTTAAAACAGAAGAGTGACTAAGAAAGAGTAGTCAGTCCTCTTGAATTACTGTAGTTGAGAGATCCAAATCTGATGTCAGGTTGTGAGTTCCTCAAACTACAGTAGACCAGTCCTGCACTACTCCCTCTGTCCTTTCTTATGTGAGTAGGAAGACATGTTAGTGATGAAATAACAGGAAAAGCAAAAAGGGCACATTGAGGAGTCTCTGTCTTCCTCAGCTGTTTATTCAGCATCATTTTGTTTGCATTTCACATACCCTCAAGGAGGATGAGGGGAGAAGCTAAAAACCCACCTGATAATGGAGCTGAACTAAGTCTTGACCTGACTAAAAATGAAGAAAAAGAAAAAATTTTAAAGGCTGTTACCTCTTCAAAGAAACCTATTATGCATTTGAACTATACTTCATTCTATTACCTGTCTTGTATAGTATTTTAGTATAAATTATTCTTGACTACAATAATATAATCAGAAGTGGCAGCCAGATCTTTGAGTTTCCTGTCTTTTCTGCGACCTTTTTTTAAATTAAAACATGAGTGAAAACTTTTGGTTTTGTGTATTTGGATTTTTAAAGATCCAAATACTTAGAGCATTTTCAGTTCTCTCCATGGCTATTCCTGGAGTTGATCAGTAATAACTGTTAGCTGACATGATTTGAGCATGTTTTTGTAATTTCATATCTGTAAGGGAGCTTTCAAATCTGATGATGATTGGATGAGCTGCTTAGTGCCAAGATTTCCCCTCCATGCTAGATTTTCCCTTTACGCTAGAACATCTCGTCTTCTCATTATCATATCTGTGCTTTAATTGTCATTGCATGCTCTTGTTCTCCTGCTCCACATTTGAATGCACATTAGCTAGTTGACATAACCCATGGTAGCTTTTATGTGACATTTAATAATGGCGTGCCACCTGATTTCATAGACTTCCCTTCAAATTTTAAATACTAAACGCCTTGAGTTTGTAAATGTCTGCAAAGAGCTACCAGAAGCAATCAAACAGTATTTTTCCTCTATTGGATTCCACTTGATTACAATGAGGAGGTGTTAGCCAACAGTAGTAGTCCAGTTGTCCATTTTTTCTGCTGATACTGTGGATGACACCAGATGACCCTCACAACTTACCTAATGCCTAGCATGACCAAAAAGAATTTGAGACTGTTTTCTGATTACTGTAACCTCTGCATTCTGTCTCTTGAAGGAACAAGGGCAACTGTATATCCAGTAAAAATATTAAATATCTTAACTAGTTTATTTAAAATATCTTAACTTTAATTCCTAATATATTGCAACAGGTTGACTGAGTTTTGGTATGTTACTCAACTCTGTTTATGTGCACACAAGTGCTTTTCTGAATTTGAGTTATAGCCAATATCTTGACTGTATTACTAACTTTTCCAGAAATCTGTTTCTCAAAAGGAAAAAAAAAGAAAAGTTTATTCAATTAATTTTGCAGATAGGTAGTTTCATTGTGCTGCTCTTAGCAGAATTTTCTTCACTGACTTAAGTTTATTATAGTGTCCTGCATATACTCTACTGTTTTCTACCTCTGTTATTATATGAGTTCTTTTTATGGAAGATAATACAATATTTTCATAGAATCATAGAATCACAGAATGGTTTGGGTTGGAAGGGACCTTAAAGATCATCTAGTTACAACCCCCCTGCCACAGGCAGGGACATCTTCCACTAGATCCCACTAGATCAGGTTGCTCAAAGCCTCATCCAACCTGGCCTGGAACACTTCCGTGTGTGGGCCAGCCACAGCTCCTCTGGGCAACCTGTTCCACTGCCTCACCACCCTCACAGTCAAGAATTTCTTCCTTTGATCTAGTCAAAATCTCCCTTCTTTCAATTTAAAGCCATTGCCCCTTGTCCTATCACTACACGCCCTTGTAAAAAGTCCCTCTCCAGCTTTCCTGTAGGCCCCCTTTAAGTACTGGAAGGCTACGATAAGATCACCCCGGGGCCTTCTCTTCTCCAGGCTGAACAGCCCCAACTCTCTCAGCCTGTCTTTATAGCAGAGGTGCTCCAGCCCTCGGATCATCTTTGTGGCCCTCCTCTGGACTCGCTCCAACAGCTCCATGTCCTTCTTGTGCTGGGGACTCCAGAGCTGAACGCAGTATTCCAGGTGGGGTCTCACAAGAGCTGAGTAGAGGGGCAGAATCACCTCCCTCGACCTGCTGGCCATGCTCCTTTGGATGCAGCCCAGGATACGGTTGGCTTTCTGGGCTGCCAGCGCACATTGCCGGCTCATGTTGAGCTTCTCATCCACCAGCCCTCCCAAGTCCTTTTCCTCAGGGCTGCTCTCAATCTATTCTCCGCCCAGCCTGTACTTGTGCTTGGGATTGCCTCGACCCATTGTGCATTGATCATAAGCTGTAACACTTTTCTGTGACTCTGAAAAACAACTGTGTGATATGGATTCACCTGGTTGATGTAATGAGCTAAATAGAAAGATTTTTTGCACTGCTTGTTGCTGTTCAGTGCACATCAGAACTAAGCCTCAATCCTTCAGTTCAATTCTTCTATGTAGACTACTAATAAAAATAAAATCACAAATATATTTGAGTCTTTCTAGTAGGAATTTAAGTGTTTCCTGATGCAGTGCTCCTCACCCCATCCGAGTAACCTTTCTTACAGCTGGGTAAAATATCAAACTTACCACACTGTTGTTTGGTTCTCTTGTTTTGGGCTTTTTTCAGAACTGCTAGTTTTAGGACTTTCTTTTTATATAATGCTACCTGGTATCATAATCCTCTAATTTCTTTGGTAAACGAGGACTATGTACTTCACACTAGGATATGTCTCCTTTTTATGCGCAAATACGTGTTTATCTTTATTTTGACATTTTAAGCGCAAATATATTCTTATTTTAATTTTGACTACAAAAAATTTTATCTACATTTGAACTCCAAAAAATTCACAGTGCCTTTACATCTCTGCCTACCTCACATACCTTTCAGTAGGCATTTTCATTACATGTTCAGAAAACACTGGCTCTTTAGCTGTTCAGTATGTACAATTTACACACCTGTAAGAGTAACAGATGAAGAAGTGGAAATTTTTCATTCAGAGTTACTGGATCATTTGATAACACAATATGTTTTCTACCTCTTGATTCTTATAAACCACTTCTTGAGTAGCAAGGAGAGTAATTGCTTCAGGAAGAGTCTAGTACTGGATGTTTAACCACAATAAAGTTTTATGGGCTTTATGATGCATTATAAAGTTCTGTTGGAGGCAAAATTGTTTTGAGTTTCTGAGTTTGAAAAGCTGCTCAGTCAAACCCTCTGCCAATTATCCTTGTAACTGGAATTCTCTTGATGTCCCTGAGTATCTTCTGAAAAATGTACTAGAGAAATCAGGAGCGTTGTTTGCCTGCCTTATTTGCCAATGGTGAGTGCACAGATAGTTTTCAGAAAAGGCATCTTCCCACAAAAAAAATGATAGATTTTATCCAAAATTATTAGAGAAGTTCAGCCATAGGGTAAGAATAACGATAGGAAGCTTTGGAGGAAGTTACAAGAAACTGCGGAGAAGAATTTGGAAAGAAAAAGTCAGTGTGGTTTTGTGACATGGTATAAAAAAGCAGATCTGTATCCAAGGTGGAGTAGCAAGAAAAATTCATTGGAACCTGTTGTCCTTTCTCAGTAGCTTTGCACATAATCTCCCTTCCAGTTTCCCCCTTTCTCTTGCCGAAGGCATCGCTCAGCCTCCAGTTTGGTTGAAGGAAAGTATGTGAGCATGTGCCAAGCCATCAGGGTCAATTTCTAATTCTCACACTTTCTGAAATTTACTTTTTGTGGACTTTTTCCTCCTTTAGTGTTTTCTCTAGAAATATGAGTGTGTAAGTGCTCTTTTTTCCCACCACATTACTTTCTTCTCTGTTCCCATTTGTGGTTAAAAGCTGGTCAGTAACCTGGAAATGAAGTCATGGGGATTATTTCAAAGGACAGAATTTTGGAGCAGAAAAGAAATAGTTTGTCCATTGAGGCCTTTCAGATATTCATAGAAATTAAAAAGAGGCTCAATTGTCTATGATTTTATTGCCATTGCTATTTTACAGGGGAATCGGGAAAAGACCCCTGGTCTTGAGTTTGAAGATGAGGATGCATTTTACAGTGTCTGCAGAGTGGGTTTTAAACTGCTCAATATAAAAAATAAGTACTTCTGTAGATGCTTTTGCTTTGCCTTTTTCTGAATTTGTGGTTACTTACCACAAAATCTTTCTTTCTTTTCTCTAGGGCTTCATTAGGATGTTTAGCATTGGTTACCTGATCCAGTGTTGCCTTCGGATTCCATCCACCTTCCGGCATCTGTTTACAGAACCATCCCGGCTACTTTCCCTCTTCTACAACAAGGAAAATTTCCAGCTTGGAGCTTTTCTGGGGTCTTTCGTCAGTATATACAAAGTAAGCTTATAACATACAGAAATGGCCAATGCCATGGTTTTTGTTTCACTTTTCAGAATACCACGAAGAGCTAAAAAGTGTTACTGATACTGTTTGCTACAGCATGTCACGGACAAATTCTGTAGTATTGCAGTAACCAAACTGTAAATAGAAAACTAGCCTTCCATTCCCTGTGTTTTTTCTGTCATTTCTGAATAAATGAGATGGATTTTGCAGCACGGTATCAAGATCAGGAGACAGGGGCTACTTCAGAGAAAGTGAATTCGGATTTCAAAGGGACTTGCTGTTACACAAAATCATTTTAGCGCAGACACACCAGTAGTGACTGCAGTAGCAGCAGGGTTGCCAGAGAGAAGCCATTTGCAGATTTTTTTGGCTCAAATACCTGGAATTCTTGCTGAACGCTAAGTAGCAGGAGATTGCAGAACATATATCATGTGCAGCTGAGGAGACATTGCACTTAACACTTGGAAGTCTACCCTTCTACCCCGTTATAAGATGACAGATTGTGAACTGATGAACGCAATCGCGCAGCATAGTTGGAGTAAATCAAATTGTGTTTATTTATGCCAAAAGAGAATGTGACCAAGCACATGCCCAAAGGAAGAATATATTGCGTAGTGCAGTGCTGAAGTGGCTTTTGTGCTTTTATATTCTTAATCACACGTGTCATTTTTCAACTGCTGCTTTACTTGTTTTGCAAAGTTAAGATAATTCTGTAGTATTCAGGATAAACATTACTTTCTGAAAATTAAAAAACAAGTGTTATTTGTAAGCAAAACAGCATTTCACTTGACTTGTAGTCAGATTGAGACCCAAGAATTTGTAAGGTTACAGAGTTTAAAATTAGTGATGGCAAAGTGCAAATGGGTTGTTTAGAGTTTATTGAAAATAAATTTTTGGCTTAAGTTTGAAGAAGAGAGCCTTAGAGAAAAAAGTATTTAAATTGCAAAAGCTGAAATGATTTTGATTTCTTTTAAAAGCTCCAATTACAAAGTGTAATTTCGTTCTGTAGATACTCATTTTACAGCAGTGGCATAGTCTGACCTTTATTTATAGTTTATTAAGTGTGTACTTTCTGTTATTGTTTGCGTTCCATAACTTCCATAGATTTCAGTTGTGTTATATTTTTCTTCCAGTATAAGCATGTAGGGCAGCAGAGATTCTAGTCGCTCCAAAAGATTGGATGACACCCAAAAAATGTGAAAAGCTTGATGCATTTTGAACCCAAAGGAATTGCGTTAGGGACTGCTTTTAAAAAAAGCCCATCTTGTCTCTAAAAGCAGTCTGAAGTGCTGTTGTAGGATTGTAGTAACCATACTGTTACTATTTTGTGTTCCCCTTACAGTCAATTAATGTCAGCAAACGTGGTTTTGCAGAAAATCAGCTGGCCATTGTAGCCTGGTTTCATTTTTTAAATTAGATTACAAGTTTGAGTAGTAAAGTTGACTGACATACTTGAAATGTATCAGTGGCTTTGCAAGAAATTTATTTATTTAAAATGTGCATTATAAAATGTCTAGTGAGACCACATCTATGGTACTGTGTCCATTTTTGGACACTTCACTACTTCTTTTCATTTTAATGTCTTCTTCAAGACATTGAAATCCTGGAGTGAGTTCACCTGAGGGCCACCGAGATGTTTTGAGAACTGGGTCATACGATGTGCAAGGAGAAGCTGGGAGAACTGTGTTTTAAGCTGAAGAAAAAAATCTCAGGGGAGAGCTTTTTGCTACCTACACCTCTGAGAGGTGTACAGTGATAGGATGAAAGCCAATGGATTCAAGCTGAAATACAGGAGATTCCGAAGAGATATAAGGAAATATGTTTCCATGTGAGGGTGTCCAAATATTGGAACAAGTCACCCAGTGAGGCTGTGTAATGTCCATCCGTGGAGATGCTCAGAACTCAACTGGACAAGTAGCAACCTGCTCTAATTAGACCTGCTTCAGGCTAGAGGTTGGACCAGATGATCTACCGAGATGCCTTAAAAACATAAATTTTTCTTTGATTTCATGAAAAGCACACATTAGATGGATTAAGAGCCTGACACATGTATCTCAAAATAGACGTCAGCAGGCTGTCATACCGAATTCTGTCATGTTTTCTCAGGGCCATCAGCACTGGATTGGGCTTTGTAAGCAGGTCTCGAACCATTTAGTAGCAAACAGAAGTTTACCAAAATTTCCAAAACAGTTGAAAAAACAATGCAGAGGATGTGGCAGATCTGTAACAATCTGGATCATTTGGTAACCTGCAGTCATCCAAATAAAATATATTTTAATGCAGCCTAAGCCACAATTACTTACATCTGTTCTGGCCTAAACAGATGTGTATTGTTGTCTGTGTCAACAAGCAGGTTATTATGTGTTTCACTGCGTGTTTTAATCATATGCAGTTGTAATTTTTCAGATTAATGTGTTTTCCTGGTTCCAGAACTTATTGGATGTATGGAAAAAGCTCAAGGTGTTTGATGCG